TTGCCCCAGCATGTCTTCCCGCTGGCCTGCTCCCGCTTGGGCCCGTCCCTCGTGTGGGGATGGCCAGCCGGCAGGGCAAGGCGAGCGGCGTGATGGCGTGCTGGTAGACGAAGGCCGACAGGCTCCCTGCAAGGGAGACAGCGAGAGGGTCGTCACGGACAAGCAACCCCCCCCGGCACGCACGTCCTGTCCCCGGGTTCCCACCGCCCCCCAGCGGAAGTTTGACCCGTGGGCTGTTATCCACACCAGCAGCATGTGGTTCCCGGCGCTTTACAGCACAGATGGGTCAAGCGACAGACACGGAGAAGCGTCCGCCACAGGCATTTCAGCTGCCTCTTGCTGCTTCTTTGTACAGCACCATGCACAATGCATCCCTTCCCCTCCCCCCGGTGCTACCGTAATATACGTAATGCTCCTCCCGTCACCCTCCTCTCCAGGACGGTAAGAGCCTCACCAAAATAGGGCTCGTCGCTAGCCCCTTTGAGGTGCACTCCTTTGGCAGACGACTCAATGAGGAAGTGTCGGACCAGGTCGCCGCTCTCATCACCTTTAAGCAGAACACAAGAGAGGATCTACCACAACCTCCGGGCTTCCTGCACACTCTGGTTTTGACCCGTCTCTTTCCCAGCCAAGGGGGTGACCCTGTGTAACCATCACTGGGTGGGATTTGAACTAGGGACCTCAGTGCAGGAGTCTCTACAGCTTGAGCACTTAGCTTCGGCTGGGGAGTTTCCATGTTCTTGTCTCTTGCTGTATGTGGCCTCAGTGCTAATCCATGGGACAGCGTCCCACACTAGGTGTGTGGGTGACACCTTCACGGCCCCCTCTACTTCAGCCGGGATTTTCCAAATGCCATTTCAGTAGCCTGGCTCTCCTATACGACCCCTAGACAATTGGGCACCACCCCATACATCCCTTGGACCCATAAATCATAGAGCTGGAAGAGACCTCAGGAGTCATCAAGCCCAGCCCCCTGCCCCGGACCATTCCCAACTAAATCACCCCAGCCAGGGCTTTGTCAAGCCGAGACTTAAAAACTTCTAGGGATGGAGATTCCTCCCCCTCCCTAGGGAACCCATCCCAGTACTTCCCCACCCGCCTAGGAAAATAGTTTTTCCTAATATCCAACCTGGACCTCTCCCACTGTAACTTGAGCCCATTGCTCCTCGTTCTGCCATCTGTCACTACTGGGAACAGCCTCTCTCCAGCCTCTTTGGAACCTCCCTTCAGGAAGTTGAAGGCTGCTCTCAAATCCCCCCTCACTCTTCTCTTCTGCAGACTAAAACCCAAATCCCTCGGCCTCTCCTCATAGGTCATGCGCTCCAGTCCCCCAATCATTTTGGTCATCCTCCTCTGAACCCTCTCCAATGTGTCCACATCCTTTCTATAGTGGGGGGCCCAGAACTGGACACAGTACTCCAGGTGTGGCCTCACCAGTGCTGAATAAAGGGGAATAATCACTTCTCTGGATCTGCTGGCAATGCTCTTCTTAATGCAACCTAATATGCCATTAGCCTTCTTGGCTACAAGGGCGCCCTGTTGACTCATCTCCAGCTTCTCATCCACTGGAATCCCCAGGTCCTTTTCTGCAGAACTGCTACTTAGCCAGTCGGCCCCAGGCTATAACAATGCTTCCCTCTGAAGCCCTGTTTTGAGGTTTCAAGTAAAGCTTGGCCCACAGGGGTAAATTTCATAGCTAGATCCAAACTCTGGGGGCCTTAACTGAGCAAAACCCTCGTTGTTTATTGGCTCCATTACAAACGGCTGCCCTTGGCTTAGAGGAGATCTCTGGTGCGTTGAACTCTGTCCTCTCTGTACCTGTCTTGCAGCTGGTGGGCGAGCTGAGAACCTTCATTGCCAGCCCAAACGACCCACGGTACGACGTGCTGTCGCGCATGAGAAAAGCGCCTGGCTCTGCCTCCCTCAGGAGCTGGATTGCTGCCAAGGCACATGGGAGAAGGTTACCCATTTAATCGCAAACTCGGCATTTGCCCCGTAACCAGCCCAGGTAGCAGTGGAAAGCAGCAGGGTGGGTTTCAGGATCCATCCTTCATGCATGGGCAACCTACGCTAACTGTTTAGTGCTTCGGCCACGTCTATACTGAACCACGGATCGATCTTCTGGCATTTGATTTAGCGGGTCTAGTAACAGGTACTCCTACTCCTCATGTATCAGAGGGGTAGCCGTGTTAGTCTGAATCTGCAAAAGCGACGAAGAGTCCTGTGGCACCTTATAGACTAACTGAAGTGTAGGAGCATAAGCTTTCGTGGGCAAAGACCCACTTCGTCAGATGCATGTCTGACGAAGTGGGTCTTTGCCCACAAAAGCTTATGCTCTTACACTTCAGTTAGTCTATAAGGTGCCACAGGACTCTTCGTCGCTTTTGCAGATTCAGACTAACACGGACTCCTCATGAGGCGTAAGGCCAACTCTCCATTAGTGGTGCCAAAGATCGAACTTCTAGCATTTGATTTAGCGGGTTTAATAACCAGCACTCCTACTCTTGTCTCCACTTGTGGCGCCGAAGATCGATCTTGTGGCATTCAATTTAGTAGGTCTAGTTAAGACCCTCTAAATCAAATACTGAGAGTGGCTCCAGTTGGCGCCGGTACTCCTTGCAGTTGCAAGGAGTAAGGGAAGCTGATGGGAGCGGCTTCTCTCTGTGAAGACAGCGCCAAGCTTGGTGTAAGGTAAGCCGACTCCAGCTATGTATTTTACGTTACTGGAGTTGTGTACTTTATCCCGACCTTCCAGGTCTGTTGTGGGCCTGGACTTAGGGGTGTTTATCAGTTGACTCAGGCATTAGAGCCTCATGCCCTTAAACTCAGAGGTGCAGGCTCTGTCCTTGCAGAAGGCCTGTCCAGAAGGGTGTCACCGGACAGTGGTGATTCAAGAGGCATTTTGACCTCAGCCAGGATCCGGAGCCTGGGAACTGAAAGATAACTCCACCCTTTCCAACCTCAGGTTGACTCAATTTCTCTTGAAGCCCAGAGCGAGGGCCTGATCTGGATGGAGCCCCATCTCTGGGCTGGCAAGAGGCTCTTCCACGTTTCTAACGTCAGGTTTTGGTGGGTTCTGATGCAATTAGGAAATAGGTCACTCTGGGACCTCTGGAATGCCCAAGACTTTGCCAGCCCTTTGTGGCCCCGTGAGACAAGCAGCTCTCCAAGAGCTATGCAGGTGGGTAGATTTGGTAATGGGCTAGGGCTAGCCCCCAGACCTTCTCTCCTTTTACCTTGGTCTCTCGTTATGCTTGGCTTGAACCAGTATTTTGACGTGTCCATCACAAACTTCATGGTTGGTTGACCATCTTGGGAGGGACCTGCAACAGACAGCAGCATTTCCTCACGCACGGCACATGGATGCCTAAGGAGGTTGTGGAATCTCCAGCACTGGAGATATTGAAGAGCAGGTTGGATAGGCATCTATCAGGGATGATCTAGATCAAGCTACTCAACTTTGGAAGCCCTGGGGGCCACAGTGATACTCACAGCACATGCTGAGGGCCTCAATTTAAGTGTGGTTGCATATACAGGCATATATATATGCAAATATATGCAAATAGCTTCTTTCACACTGAGGGGCATGAATACAAAGATGAAGGCAAGACTACACAACACACAGGCCCCATTTAAGTCAGTTCAGCTGATACTAACAACACGCAATCGTTACCCGATTTCCACCCATATGACAGCACTTTTCATGAGCAATGGCAGTCCAGGAATTTAACTCCTAAAACACAGATCAACAGAAGACCATGATATTGACTACTTTTTTGTTTTGGCTCCCACCTGTGGGCCGCATGTTGAGTCCTGCGTAAATGCAAACTGCACCACAGGCCGCAAACAAACGGGCCGCGGGCCGCATGTTGAGTAGCCCTGATCTAGATGGTGCTTGGTCCCGCCATGAGAGTAGGGGGCTGGACTTGATGACTTCTTGTGGTCCCTTCCAGTTCTAATATTCTATGATTCTATGATACCTCACTTTTCTTTATAGAAGGGCATAGGCGTGTTTATAAATACTTAGATGCCAGGGATCCTTTTCCCCGGCAACTTTAACGGGACAGGAACCCGAATAAAGACGGTTTCTCTTTTAACCGAGCTGGGGTTTAAATGTTTGCTCAAGCCTTTCACTTAGAACTTCCCTTCTGGTTCCCAGCATAACTCACTCTCCACTTCATTATCTTCTTGGCAAACCCCAGTCAAGATCAGAAAGATAATAGGCTCCGCTCCTCAGCTGTGCGCTTCGGCCCAGCTCCACTGAAGTCGAGAGCGCTATGTTGAGAGACATCCCTCTTTCCTTTCCCATGAGAATCTAGATGAAAAATCTCTGTCGGGAGCTGCCCCCGTAAACTATTCCAGAGAACAATGGCCCAGTTGTTTACTCTTGAACTAGGAATCGTGTATTTCCCAAACTTTTGATAGCTTTAGATGTCCTCCAAAAACAAATTTGGGGGAGGGAGGGAGGAACAGTCTTAGCAATGAAATAAGGATGAAATTAAAAATGACGGGTCACATTCTCAGCCAGTGTAAATAAGCAAAGCTCCGTCTGCTATAGTGGAATGACCTTGTGCATGCTAGCTGAGAAGGGGGTGCACTAATTTTATGGAACCTCATTGTTACTAGAAGTTTTTACCCACCCTGCTCCTTTTTCGGAGAATGATACTCGGACATTTCTGGAGGCTGGAGAGAGTCTTCATGCATACGCTTTCATGGTCACAATTTATATTGGGGTTCCAGTTTATAAGGGTTAAAATGAGCAGCTGTTTCAACAAATGATTCATCCATCATCCTAGATCTTCGGAGAGTCCAACAGGTTGCTTACGAGTGTAACAAACCAAACCTGGGAGCTTAGTGTAGAAGCCTCGACAACTTGAGCTATAAAGCCAGCTGGCTCTGAGCAAACTCATTCTCTCTAAGGTTGCGTCTACACAGCACCCGAAACTCGAGAGCAAACTCATTCTCTCTATGGTTGCGTCTACACAGCACCCGAAACTCGAAATAAGCTACTCAATTTGTGTATCTTATTTCCACTGTATTTCAAAATAGCTGATTTTGAAATTCAGCACCAAATTCTGAAATAATGCGCTATTTCTACACATCCCTTACCCTCATGGAATGAGGGTTACAGGGATGCCAAAATAGCACACCCGTTATTTTGAAAAATATTTCAAAATAACGGGCGCATTTAAAAGACGTAGGGTAGCTATTTCGGGATACCTATGGTATCCCGAAATAGCCCCACCTTCTAGACCGGTGGTTCTCAATTGTGGGCCATATGGCTCCCCAGGGGCCACGCCCTACCTCTAGGGGGCCACATGGAAAAAACGGAACATTAGGTAAATTATGGACCTTTTTTTCCAACTAACAGCAGATATGAGGGGGGCCGCAGAGGTAAACGAGGCTCAGAAGGGGGCCATGAGCAAAAAAAGGTTGAGAAACTCTGGTCTAGACAAGGGGTGGCCAACCCATTAAACCAAAAGAGCTGAGGCAGCGGTGGAAAAAATGCAAAGAATTGTTGAGAGAGAGAGAAAAAAAAAAGGACACTGCCCCTTTATAAAAACACTGGCTTAGGCTTTTTGGCCACAGCAGGCTGCCACTGGCCACCACCATCTTGCGGACGCCATTTTAAATTGCCGCTGGAGCTGCGGGCTGTTTGGAGGGAAGCAGGGGCGGCTTCACAAGCCGCATTTTTGGGGGAGAGGAGCCGCATGCGACTCGTGAGCCGTGGGTTGGCCACCCCTGGTCTAGAGGTACTCTAAGTAATCTAAGTGCCACTCCATGGGACAGTGAACCTCCGCCAGTAGATATGTGACTTATAACCATCTATAACACTCTGGGTGTGTCTAGACTACACCTCTGTTGACAGAGAGATGTGGTTTAGGCACATTCAAACTGCTAATGAAGCTTGGATTTAAATATCCCATTCCTCATTAGCATAAACCTGCTAATGAAGCTTGGAATTAAATATCCCATTCCTCATTAGCATAAACACGGCCACCGCTTTTTTTCAAAACGGAGCTTCTTCGAAAAACAAAAACAAAACAACCTGGCAGTCTAGACACGATCTTTTGAAAGTACAACCCTTTTCTGAAAGATCCTTGAGGTTTACAGGATCTTTTGAAAAAGGGTTGTATTTTCAAAAGATTGCGTCTAGACTGCTGGGTTTTTTTCGAAAAAGCTCCATTTCGAAAAAAAAAAGCAGCGGCCATGTTTATGCAAATGAAGCAAGGGATATTTAAATCCCGGCTTCATTTGCACTTTCAAAGTGCTTGATTTGCATCCCTCTGTCGACATAGCCTCTGACTGATGGCATTTTCACCCTCAAGGACGCAGCTCCTCACATATTAACAATTTATAAACGAAAGCTTGATTGGACGTGGAAACGCAACCTCCCGTTTTATCCTGTCTTTCTACCACAACCTAAAGGGACTCTCCCTGCCGGAGACTCTCACTCACCGCCAGAGAGCTCCACCCAAAAAAGCCCAACTTACTATGCGAGGAGAAGAAAGACGTGTCCGAAGAGGTCTTGTTCCCGCGGCTGGTCCCGGAGGATGGGCTGGGCTGGGGTGGGATCGTCTGCTTGGTGGAACCTGGGACACCGTTGGCCACCCTGGAAGACGTCTCGCCAGATTCCACACACCCGTTGACCAGCAGGATGGGGATCTCGGCCATGGAGGTAACGAGGGAGGGCGGGCAGCTGCTGGCATGGCCCTTCTGGAGTGGCGGGGAGGAAGAGGCGTTCGCTGGGTTGGGCTCGGAACCTGGACTGAAAGCCCTGGTGCTCGGGGAGGGGAGACTAGTGACCGGGCTCTCCGCCGGTCTGTGGGCATTAGGGCTGCTGAAGAAGCCGACAGCGACCGGGCTCTCCGCCGGTCTGTGGGCACTTGGGTAAGAGTCTGAGTCGTCGTTGAGAAGCGACTGGGTGCTGCTGCGGAAGAAAAGCAGAAAGTACAGGCAGGCTGCAGGGCTTGTCTTCCAGCCTTGCTCCCACTCCCCCCCCCTGGCTTTGAAGGGTGCCAGCTCCATAAAACTACGGCAGGTGGTGGAACGCGCCAGCCTGGCCCGTGCTTGGCGGACGTCCCCTACCAACGCTGAGTGCGCAGACACAACAAAGGGGGATTTACCTGCCAAGCACGTAACTGGTGTCTGATCCCGGGCTGGTGGAGAGCACGGAGACCCTGCTGGTTTGCTGAGAAGCCCGCGCAAGGTACAAAGCCTTCCGTAAGTTCTCCAGGCCCGGAGAGGTGGCTAGGAAAGCGTTTGGCCCGTAGGAGATGCAGTCCTTCTGACCACGCTGCGGGAGACACAACAAAGGGGGATTTACCTGCCAAGCACGTAACTGGTGTCTGATCCCGGGCTGGTGGAGAGCACGGAGACCCTGCTGGTTTGCTGAGAAGCCCGCGCAAGGTACAAAGCCTTCCGTAAGTTCTCCAGGCCCGGAGAGGTGGCTAGGAAAGCGTTTGGCCCGTAGGAGATGCAGTCCTTCTGACCACGCTGCGGGATGGATACGCTTTCTGACACTCGGTAGCAGGGCTGGGGGGAGCTCCCACTTTGAGGAACTGCCCGGGTGCTCTCCGGCCCGGAGAAGACCACACTGCCATTTGGGGTGCAGTTGTCCCGGGGTGGCACCCCTCTTGGGACCAGGAAGCAGCCGCTTTGGGGAGACATGGAGAGCGGCGTGACGCAAGGGCTGGCCGAGCCCTGCATTGATTCGTGGCTCCTGGCTCGGGCGGGAGTCATTTCAATGTACTTGATCTCTGGAGGAACAAAAGAGCAGCAATTAACAAGAAGGGATCGGACGGGCCCCCAAATCCCTTAGGTAGCTTTTGGATCCTTCGCCTCAGATTCTGACAGCACTGAGCAGCTGGGTCAGGATCAGGCCCTGCGCTCCCACCGAACGGCACCCGGACCCTGTGCAGGCGCACTTTCTGCATGAGTGAGTGCGCCCAGCCCCTGCAAGTGCAAAGGGCATGTGTGTTTGGTGGGAATTTCCAACAATTCCCGGTGCCACATACAACCCCACACCAGAGCTCTTTCTGCCCTAGTGTGCAGTGTTCCCTGTAAGCTGGGCCCTAGTACAGCCATTCAGGAGAGATTCAAATGCCACCCAGTGGATTAGCAGGGCGCCCACAGCTAAGTGTTTGTTTCTACTGGGTGGTGCACATTCACACATGCCTCAGTGCACGGAGAAAAAATTATTCTGCACACTGATGGCATAAATCCGCACTTGGATGGAAAAGATTAGAGGGAACATAGGCAGGCCAACTCTTCATGTGGGCTGTGGCTAATTCCCTTCTGGGGCTGAAGGCTTTGTGTGGAGAAACAGGGAAGGCTACAGAGCCTGCCAGAGTTTTGATGACCCCTACATCACCAGGCCAGGTGCCATGCAGGTGCCAATTCCTGGCTCGCCTCCCTGAAGTGCTGAGGCCTTGCTCCTAATTACAGGCAGAGCGCCCCGGCCTAATGGCAGCAGCGCCACGCCAGGCCGGGAGACACACAATCATCTCGGCGTGCACAGCGCCCTCTTCGTGATGATTCCAAAGTGCCTGTTGATACCTGTCGCGGAGGGTGGGTGCTTCTATTTGCCTTCCTGCAGCAGCAGTGCTGTCTGGAGCTGACTAAAGAAAAAAACATCTGGCTACTCCCCAGGGAGCGCCTGTATCCAAGGCCTGGGCAAAGGGTGTGTGAGGCAGGAGGGGCTTTCTGGCCCTGGCCTACCACCGAGGAGCTCCATTGTTGCCCTGGGCCATGTGCACAGGGCGTATTTCACCCCTCTCTCAGGCGTGGCTGGATGTCTAGGGCACTGGGAACTGTACAGGGCAGGGCGCGACCTGTGTGCGGGGCAAAGCGGGTTGTTAGGAGGCCCCTGCACATTTCTAGCTGGTCCGATCGCAGCCGGAGCATTCCAGCAGCAAAAGCAGCCAGACCTGGGACTGCAAGAGAGGAAATTGTCTGATTCCATCGCCCCAATTTGGGCCAAAGATCTTTGATTACAGAAATAGCTCTGAAGGCCATGCATGGTCTCTTGTGCAGGTGCCCCCCAGCCTCTATCCCAGAACGTCTCTGCCCCGCTTCCTGCTCTTTCAGGGCTCATGGGGCACCCCAAGAGGACACACATGCATTAGTGTATTGCTGTGTCTGTTCACCCCCTTGTGAAGGGGAAATGTTTGTTTCTCAGCCACCTGCAGAAAAGCCTGACATTAAAACATAGATTTCTGCAGCCCTGTGCACTCACACCATATGGCCTTCTTGCTCTGGAAGCGAAGATGCTCTATTCCTGGCTCCGGGAGGGGAGGGTCTAGTGGTTAGAGCCGAGATGGGGGGAGGGAAGGGCCAGGAGACAGGACTCCTGGGTTCTATGCTGCTTCATGTGACTTCTAGCACATCATCATAGACTCCGAGGGTTGGAAGAGACCTCCGGAGGTCACGAGTCCAATCCCCTGCTAACAGCAGGACCAACCCTAACTCAATCATGCCAGCCAGGGCTTGGTCAAGCCGGGACTTAAAAACCTCTAGGGATGGAGATTCCACCCCCTCCCTAGGGAACTGCACGAGCCAGGATTCTGAGCCCTCCCCCCAAGTACGAATAGATTCCTAGGTTTGACACCCAGGGGGAACGGCTATGATATCTGACTTGTGCCTAGCACAGGCCAGACTTCCCCCCGCTGTAATCTCACAGCTTCTGGCAGAACTACCGCCGCTTTTAGAAAGAGGCACTGCAGCCAGCTCTCAAGACTTCAGATGATGGCAAATCCGCCATCCCCCTGGGTAAGCAGTGCCACTCAGAAATCACCTGCCCTGTTAAAACCGGGCACCCCGTTTCTAACCTGACTGTGGCTGGGGTCAGGCTATGCCTTTGAAGCCAGGCCGATTCTTCGTGTTAATTTTAAAGGCATCAAGAGGATGGAATTTTGTTTGTTTGTTCCGGTTTCTTTTGTTTTTTTGCTGCTGTAATAAAAAATGCTCTTAAAAGTCTTGAGTTTCCTTGTCGGTAATGTCACATGCCTGGCTGCTGCCCTGTCGTGTGTGGTGAGGGAGAAGAGATGGCTGTGGGAGGATGGGTCACTGCCAAAGACTACAGTCACTGTTTATTGCAAGGAACAACTGTGCCTCGAAGGCATCAGGTTCCAGGGCAAGTCGGCACAAACGTTACTCTTTGGCTGCCTCCTTGGTGCCAGGCCCCTAGGCAAGCACAGGCAGACAGTTTACTGGGCTGGTGAATCTGTCTAGCGTTGAGAAACCAATGTTAAAGCAAATCGGGCCGTGTTTAGATAACATGCAAAAGGGAGCTGGATCTGCAGCACATCAGCACCCGCAGCCCTCCTGGCTAAAAGGCTGACACAGCAACGCTGGGCAATGCTTCCGCTAATCTTTTCCATCCACGTGCGGAATAAAATTGTATGCGCACTGAATCATGTGCACCACCAGTAGAAATATAAAACCTAGCTGCGGGCGCTCTGCTAATCAGCTGGGCTGCTTTGGGATCTCTCCTGAGTGGATGCTCGAAGGCCCAGCGTACAGAGAACACTGCTCCTGCAGCAGATAACACCAGCCCTGCAGCCCCACGGGCCAGAACTGGGCTGGGCTGAGCTGCCGCTGCAACTCAGATCTGTCCGAGCATGCAGCCGAGGGCGTGAGCCACATCAGCCGGGGAATGTTCAAGGTGGTGCAGCCTCCTAGAGTGACAGGGTTGCAGGATCCGCTGGAAGCTGGTCACGTCCTTTAGAGCAGTGCTTCTTAAACTGTGTTCCGCAGCACACCGGTGTGCTGCGGAGAACAACAGCGTTCAAAATGGCTGCCCTTAAAGGGGCAGGTGACCCCTTTTTTTGGGGGGGGCTCAATAACGTTTCCCCAGCCTCTCCCCCCCCCCCCAACAAAAAATCCTTGGTGTTCCTCAGAAAAAAAATTATCGTTTGGTGTTCCTCGGTCTTAAAAAGTTTAAGAAACACTGTTTAAGAGACACCCCGACTACAAATAAAAACCCAGCACTTCTATCCCATGCCCCAATCTCTCCCCTCCACACTATTGCTAAAGAGCAGCTGTCACCCTACCGTAGATACCCATCCAGGGCTCTGACACCAGCTTCTCCCAGGGGCAGTTCATTAGTGTTCCGAGCCCTTGCGACTAGCTCCCGCCTGGACACACTGTGTGTACTTGGCTGTTGTGGGGCCATCGCTTGAACCCAGCTGGCTGCTGCCTGCCTTACAGTTCTTTCCTCTGGGACAGGTTTCATGCTTAAATCCAAGCCAGGGCCATCCTGTGGATTTATGGGGCCAAGTGCTCTTAAATTGGGTCCCTGTGCCCCATCTCAAATAAGATTTCTCAGCATTGAAAAAGTTTCAGAAAAGGGCAACAAAAATGATTTGGGGTTTGGAACAGGACCGATAGGCAGAGAGATTAAAAAGACTTGGACTTTTCAGCTTAGAAAAGAGGAGACTAAGGGGGGATATGATCGGGGTCTATAAAATCATGACAGGTGTGGAAAAAGTGAAGAAAGAAAAGTTGTTTACTTATTCCCACAATATAAGAACAAAGGGTCACCAAAGGAAATTAATAGGCAGCAGGTTTAAAAAAAAAGAAGGAAGTTTTTCTTCACTCAGCACACAGTCAACCTGGGGAACTCCTTGCCAGAGGATGTGGTGAAGACTAGCCACATTCTTGGCTAATGTTTTGGCCCCAAGCAGCAGCAGGGTGTGACTTCAAACCAACAGCCTGGGGTTAGTGGAGCCGAATGGGTTCCTAGCTGTGCCATACCACAGACCCTTTGCTGCGGCGCTGATGCTCACACGCACCCAGCGGTGTTGTTTTTTTTAAAGTTTTTCCTGTTACAGACTCACCCCCTCTGAAACTCTGGAACACGAACACAGCGTGGCTCACGCAAATTCTCCCCGAGCCAAAGGTTAATCCGCCCCCCCACAATTGTCACCCAACAAGAGTGACAAGAGAAAACTCTGACACGTCTCCAGAGCCTCTGCGGGAATAATTTCTCGGGGGCTCCCGCGGCCTGGAGAGTCTTGGCTCAGCGTGCTACCTTGGGCAAGCCTCAATCCCTCCCTGGACTCTCTTCCTTGCAAAGGAATTCGCAGACAGATGGTGGATTTGCAACCAACATGTTGCAAAGGAAACACTCCCCGTGGTTCCTTGTGCACAGGCTGGCGCTCCGGCGCCGTCAGCTGCCCCTGACACGATTGCCTTTGCTGGGAGAGCGAGTGCTGCCCCCTGACAAGGTAAAGCACAGAAGACAAGCACACACTAGAAGGTTTTTTTAGGAACGAACGCATGGCTGTGGCCAGGGCCATCCTGAGGATTTATGGGGCCAGTGCTCTTCAACTGGGTCCCTGTGCCCCATCTCAAATAAGATCACTTGGCATTGAAAAAGGTTCAGAAAAGGGCAACAAAAATGATTCGGGGTTTGGAACAGGACCCATATGAAGAGAGATTAAAAAGACTTGGACTTTTCAGCTTAGAAAAGAGGAGACTAAAGGGGGATAGGATCAAGGTCTATAAAATCATGACAGGTGTGGAAAAAGTAAAGAAGGAAAAGTTATTTTCTTAATCTCCTTTGGTGGCCCCTTCTTATATTGTGGGAATAATAGGTAGCAGGTTTAAAACATACAAAAGGAAGTTTTTCTTCACTCAGCACACAGTCAACCTGGGGAACTCCTTGCCAGAGGATGTGGTGAAGACTAGGATTTTAACAGGGTTCAAAAAAGAGCCAGATAGATTTATGGAGGTTAGGTCCATCAATGGCTATTAGCCAGGATGGTGTCCCTAGCCTCTGTTTGTCTGGGAATGGATGACAGGAGAGGGATGACGTGATGATTACCTGTTCTGTTTACTCCCTCTGGGGCATCTGGCATTGGCCACTGTTGGAAGACAGGATACTGGGCTTGTTCATGGTGGGGGCGGGGGAGAGATTTTTACAATCTTCAGTACCACATGAATGAACTATTTTTAAAGCACATTTTAAACTAAGGCCCTGTTGACTGTTAAATGGCTGAGTTCCCACTCAACTGGCTCTTTTGCAGGTTCTGCTAATCGCCGCTGTTAAGGAAGCCGAGCCACGGAACTGGGATAGGACGAGGTGGGTGGATGGGCGTTAAGACCAGGGGTGCCCTATGCAGGTGCGTATTCTGCCTATGGAGAAGGCCGGCTCTGCAGCAAGTGACAGCCGTGGGGGTGATGGCGGGTGTTGCATCCACCAGCGTGCCCGGGAACCAGGCCTGGTGGCTAAGCTTTGCTGGCTGTGCGCCTGACGCAAGGGGCGCTGCTGGGTGTCCACCCCCTCCTTTGGGGCCCTAAATGAGAGCGGAGGTGCACTGGAAACGCCGGCCTAGCAGAGTGGCCCCAGGTCCCCCAAGAATTCTGCAGCCAGGCTGCAAACGGAACTCCGAGCCCTCCTCAGCCCCTCAACCAGCCTGCCCCAAGGTGAGAAACAGCAGGACAAAATACTCAGATGCGCCTCTTCTGAGGCCCACGCGTGCAGGCTCCAGCTGCCCTGACCTCTATGCTAATGCACTCACACCCTGCACTTCACTTCTGAGCGCCTGCCTTCCCCGGGAGCCCCTCACTGCGCTGCACACCTGCCCTGGCTTTAACCCCAGCCGGCTGCTCAAAAGCCATTAGCTCCTCCACGAATGCCTGGAAGTCATCTCGCCAATCCGTGCCTCAGTTTCCCTGCTGTGAAATGGGGAGGCTAGCTCTGCCCAGCAGCACAGAGGGGTCCTGAGGATAACAGAGGAAGAGGGGCCACAGATTCTAGGGTAATGGGCGGGGGGGCTCCACAGAAGTTAGAAAACTTGCCAGTCCAACCACAAAATTGGTTTGCCTGCCCTGATGTGATAGGGAAGAAAAATCACATCCCAACCCTGGTCATGCTGCAGGTAACATGTTTCACCAGTGCCCTGTGGGAGGACTTGGACAGCACCTCTGCCTTGTGTCGTCCCTCCCTCTCCCCGCACCAGGGGGAATTCTCTGGGCTTGCACGGGGCCCGTGCAATGCACAGAAATGCTTTGGGATGTTCACGCAACTTCGCTAGGGCTGAGCTCGCCCTGCACCGGTTCAGCTGCCTTTACCTCACCTACTGAGTCGGGGTCGGGTTTCTTGGCCGCAGCTGCGTCGCCAGGATACATGGGTTGGGCAGGGTGCTTCTTGCCGCTGTCTGGTCTGGGCGAGAGGGGCTGAAAGGTCGGGTCGATTTCAAGGATGAGTTGGTTCAAACTTTCTATCGACACGTCTAGAGTCGGAGACACTGGACTGGCATCCGGAGTCGCCTGGGGCTCAGACTCGCCCTTTGGCTGATGGGCAGGAGCGGCCCTTTCCAAAGAGGCGCCCAGATGTTCTCTCCCGGAGTTAGATCCCCGCGGTTCCCCACTGGGCAGCTGATGTGCTTTGCTTGGCGCCATCATGGGCTGGCTGACCCACCCCTCGGGCGAAAAATACGAACACTTTGTAGGCAAGATGGAGCAGCCGGGGCCCCCGGTGGGGTGCAAGCTTCTGCTCTCCTCCGCCGAGGCCACGCAGATCGTCTGGCCCACCCGCAGCACGTGGTTGGGGATGACCTGCGACATTGCTTCGGAGCGCTGCCCCGCCCAGCTGGGGAGGGAGTTCTCCACGGGCCTGCCTCCACCAAAGGCCACGACGAACCTTTCCACTAGCCTGCTGGTGGCCCGGCAAGGGAATCTAAAGAATGCAAAGAGCAAACCGTTAGACACTGGGCTCTCTGGGAGCAGGAACGTCTTTCAGCGGCTGAATCTCACCCCTAGAATTCTACCTGCACATAAAAAAAAAAAGAAAAAAAGAAAAGAAAGCCACTTTTCACATTTCCCTTCCCAGCAATGCATGGTCCGAGTGCTTGGGGGCATTCCGGCAAGCTGCAAACCCCACCCCCGCCCGGACAGCTTCTCGGTGGCCAACAGACCCTGCCCCAAATGCTCCGGACAGCTGAATGTCCCCCTCCCCATTTGCACCCTACCTTGGCCTAGGCTGAGAATGACACTGTGATGGGGTGAGGTCACAGGCGACCCCTGGGGGGTGATTTCTGGGGTGCTGACACGGCCACTGCCACCCTCCTATTTCCTATCTGGGGCTTCTCAATGCTCGGTGCTGTTGGGCCAGCTCCCTGGCCTCCCCCCAGCCAAGGCCCCAAGCTGGGAATCACTCCCCCTCCCCACCGTGAAGCAGTATAGACACTGAATCTCTTCAGGTCCAAGGAAAATGCAGTTTTGGGCAAAACTTCCCAGGATACTACTCCCTAAATGGGATCAGAACCCCAATGAATTAGTTAGATAAGCCCCCTTTAGCAATGAGAGGGGGAATGTGCATATGGATGAACTCCCCCCCCCCCCCCCCCTTATTCACACTGGGCTTGATGGAAAATAAAAGTGATTTGACTAAGTACAAGCAGTAGGATTTATGGGCTAATAGGTGAGAACAGCCAAAGCGAAGGAGATCACAGACTCAGAACAACAGAAAATGCTTTGCTAGCTCCAATCCTGAGACCTCAGGACCCAAACTCGTTACAAACTCACCCTAAAACCGTTCTTTTCCAGCAAAGCCTTCCAAACCTGCTAATGGGTAGCAGGTTTAAAACTAATAAAAGAAAGTTCTTCTTCACACAGCATGTAGCCAACCTGTGGAACTCCTTGCCAGAGGAGGCTGTGAAGGCTAGGACTATAATAGAGTTTAAAGAGAAGCTAGATAATTTCATGGAGGTTAGGTCCATAAAAGGCTATTAGCCAGGGGATAAAATGGTATCCTTGGCCTCTGTCTGTTAGAGGCTGGAGAGGGATGGCAGGAGACAAATCTCTCTGGGGCACTTGGTGCTGGCCACTGTCAGCAGACAGGATACTGGGCTAGAAGGACCTTTGGTCTGACTCAGTACGGCCGTTCTTACGTTGTTATGTTCTAAACCCGAACTGTCCCGCACCCTGGGCCCTTCACCACCTAGCACTTTGCAGGGCTCCCGAGAAAGCTGGGGCCCTCTTAAAGGGGGCCGTGATCGGCAACTAACCCCAACACGGGTGGAAGGGCTGGGCTGGTTTCCCGTTTGGATCGGACGTGCGTCGTCCCACCGGTTCACTGGTGAAGTCTGAAGTGTCGCTCTGGGAACCTGGTGAAAGTGACGCTCTGGCTCGCCCCGGCCTGTGTTTGGTTTGTGTTCCAAAGCCAGCTACCTGCCCCAGGCTACTCCCCCAGTTTTCCCAATCAGCCTGGCTACCATGGATGTTTCTGCTACTTATTAATAAAAACAAGGAATCTCGTGAGGTTGTTAGGAACAGAAATCAGACCCCCTGCTGCCTGTCTTATGCTGGGGGGGCGGATGGGGACAGATTACATTCCAAAGAGCTTATATATTCCTTTGCATTCTTCCTCAGACTCAGCTGGTGTGAAATACAGCCTGTGCACTGAACCTACCAATAGACGTTACCCTCTAAAACCCCACTTCTCAACCCGCTACAAACTAAGTTTGGCCTCGTCCTGCATGTTTATAGTCAACGCCCCACAAGAGCTAACATTTGGCATCCAGCAGAACAACAAAGGAGTGAATTTGCTGCATCCTTAGCGAAGGTTTTTTATTGGAGAGGGGCCAGAACCAAAGTGCCAGATCTGAAATCCACCCCCCCCCCCCACCTCCTACCAGGTCCAGGGCTTTGGGAAAATTTAGATCCAGTTTTAAACTTCGTAATCGTTATAAATGGCTGTATAACTGCCCTCTGGATCGTAACGGGGATCCTGGGACCTGCAGCGTTAAAAGCCCAAGGTGCGGAGGGCTGTGTCTACACACAGCGGTATCCTGAAATAGCTATTCCGTGTCTTTTGAGCACGCCTGTCATTTTGAAATATAACGGGCTCGCTATTCCGACGTCCCTGTAAACCTCATTCCACGAGGAGTCAGGGACTTTTCGGAATAGCGGTTTGTTTCAAAATAAGTGCCGTGCAGACAGCGCCAAATTTCGAAATACGCTGTTTTGAAATTGACTCGAAATAAGCGATGCCATTTGCGTAGCTTCTTTCTAGCTACCGGCACAGTATAGACACTCCCTTGCTATACATTGGAGCTGGGAGGTCTAACATTCATATCCTGTGTGCATCAGGATGGGGCATAGACCCGGAGCAGTGGATTACATGTGTCGATGTAATACAAGACGGTCTCTCCGGGCATCTTCTGTGACCACAGGACTTTACATGAATTCACCTTGTTGTGATTTCATTAACGACTGAGGTAAGGGATGAAGAAACCATCCCATTGCTCATAGCCCCGAGTTTGCAACCCGGGGCTTGGGCGGAGGAGCCCAGCGCGTCATGTCTGGCAAGCAGTGAGTAAACGGCCCTGCAGGCTGGGGAGAGCCGCTAGAGGGATGACTGACATTCCTTGAAACGAGCCGGCGTGTTACCCTCTATGACTTATATAACCTCAACCCAACACACGCCTGTAGGACTCACTGTTTCAGAGGGAGACACGTGGGAACAGGAAAGAGGAACGGTGCTCGTGAATAAGCCCCTCTGCTCGTGTCTGTATGTGGCACCCGCCTCGTGAGTCATGTTCATTGTATCTCAGCAAGAGGCAGGAGAGGCGCCTTTGACTGAAGGAGAAATGGATGTTTCAAGCTCACTTAGCTCCTTTGCAACCAGGGTGGCCGGCCTCTAGTCTAAAGTGGTGTAAATAAGGTGTAATGTGAACCCAGCAGGCAGGAAGACCAGTAGTGAAGGGTTCAAGAGTAATGTTTAATCCTCCAACAACGCATATGCTGCGTACATAGAATTCCTCAAAGGGACCGTGGCTATTATGCCTCTGGAAATCCATTGCATTGTAGAATCATGGAATAGTAGGACTGGAAGGGACCTCGAGAGGTCATCAAGTCCAGTCCCCTGCCCTCACCGCAGGACCAAGCACCGTCTAGGTCACCCCTGACAGGGGATTGCCTAGCCTCCTGTGATGGAGACTCCACAACTCTCTAGGCAATTTATTCTAGTGTTTAACCTTCTTGTGATGGAGACTCCACAACCTCCCTAGGCAATTTATTCTAGTGTTTAACCACAGTAAGGAAGTTTTTCCTAATGTCCAACCTAAGCCTCCCTTGCTGCAGTTTAAGCCCATTGCTTCTCGTCCTATCATCAGAGATCAAGGAGAACAATTTTTCTCCCTCCTCCTTGTAACACCTTTTAGGCACTTGGAAGCTGCTATCATGTCCCCTTCTCAGCCTTCTCTTTTCCAGGTTAAACAAACCCAGTTCTTTCAATCTTCCCTCATAGGTCATGTTTTCTAGACCTTTAGTTGTGTTTTGGTGCTCTTCTCTGGATTTTTTTTCTAGTTTGTCCACATCTTAATGTGACACCCACAACTAGACACAATCAGCATGTATTCAGGCGGAAGAATTACTTCTCATTTCTTGTTTACAATACTTCTGCTAATACATCCCGGCAAGTAAGCGAATTTTTTTTTTTGGCAACGGTATCACACTGTTGACTCTTATTTAGCTTGTGGTCCACTATGTCTCCGAGATCTCTTTCTGCTGTGCTCCTAGATAGTCACTTCCCATTTTGTTCGTGTGAAACTGATCGTTCCTCCCTAAGTGGAGCACTTTGCCTTTGTCCTTATTAAACTTCATCTTGTTTACCTCCAGTTTGTCCAGATCATTTCTTCATCCTATTTACCTCCATTTCTCCAGTTTGTCCAGATTATTTGGAAGTCTGACCCTCTTCTCCACACCCTGCAAGGAGGCAGGTCTTTTATGCCTGGGTCTTTCATCAGAGTGTCTGCAAAGATCCGGGTTAGAACGAGGTTGCGTGCATCATACCTTGCTGCCTTAGGGAGCAGCCTGTTTTCTCTCTCGCTGTTTTGCCTCGTGTGCCAAGGCACCCAGATGTGTTACGTTGCAACCTTCCTGCAAGAGTATTTTATGCTTTTATCTAATTTCTCAGAGTGCATGGCCTGAGGGTCACACAATCAAACATGGGCCTCTACGGTGGAGCTAAGAAACAGTCCACAGCCAGTGGCAAGTCCCAAACCTTCCACTGACACACAAGGACGACAAAGACACATGGGGGCAAATGCCGTGACACTGGTCTGCAGAGGTGTTTGCTATTGGCCGTGTCCCATTCCCTGTCAGCCTCACTCAGAGGCTCCTGCTGCCTTCTCTCTCGCTCAGACTCTCACACGCTGGCCTGGCTTTCATTCTGTCACCGTTCGGTGATTAACCCGACCTCCATTCCAATGCTGCCACACACTCGTCGTGGCCTCAAATCCCCTGCTGCTACCTCCTGCCCTGTCTCGGGGAGAGAATTTGACTGTACACAGAACCTTCCAGCAGCATCTCACACCACCATGGGTTAGACACCAGCAGGGCAGAAAAACGCTCCAGCCACGAACACAAGAACGGCCATACTGGGTCAGACCAAAGGTCCATCTAGCCCAGTATCCTGTCTGCCAACAGTGGCAAATTCCAGGTGCCTCCACAGGGAGTGAACAGAACAAGTAATTAAGTGATTCCCTTCCAGGTCACCCATTCCCAGCCTCTGACAAACAGGCTAAAGACACCATTCCTGCCCATCCTGGCTTATAAGCATTCCTATCCTCCA